TTCTAGACTCCATTTCCTACTTTGTAGACGTCCAGAAAGAGCGCCAAAGTCTAGGAAAAACCACACCTACTCCATATAAACGCAGGGCCGTAATTCTGTATCAGCGCGTGTCTCTCTTAACTGGGTCCTAAATGAGGTTCGACAGGTACTCGAGTGCCGGCTCTTACTTACTAATGTGTAATGTGTGTTTGACAGGATATGCCGTCCCGTGCCTTGTCGTCATCGTTCCGACTTGCATTGTTCTTACTGAGGAACTTAATTGACCAACCTTACTCACTTACTTTCACTGTTCGCATTTGTTTGCTGCATAAAAATTAATGAGTTTAGGACTATTGGGTTTATTGGGTTTATTGGGTTTTGGGTTTTCGGTTTTTGGTTTTATGTTTTAGGTTCGCTTCTGTCCATTCATAAATTTTGGTTCTGGGTTGGGAATTTCCCGGCTTGCTGATTCATTTAAATTTTTATGAATGGAATGCTCTTTTTCTCATCTATTTTGGATTGGTTTTTAATGTGGGAATTCCGATTATCTGATTGAAGAGTACAAGCTGGCACGGAAACTACTTTATGTAGTTTATAAAAATATACATTATATGGACATTTATATCTTAAATTCAATAGTACAGATACTTCCTACAATAGTTTGTTTAAAATTGTTTTTATTAAGTCATTTGTCCATTTTAAGATTCTAGTTCCTAAGAACAAATCTAATATAATCTTATATGCATATCTTACTCTATATATATGAATCTTTACATCTTAATCTTTGAAGTATTTATACAACAAACTTTAAAAAATTGTATTAAGTTCATTGGCGATTATGTTCTAAACGCCTCAACCGAGTGTCTTTTGTATCCTCAGGTTCTATTATACATATATCACAGCAACTCTACCAACTATAATAATTTCTTATTAAGAAACCCAACCACCCACTGATCTAGTCGCCCAAGCAAACCATTAAAAAATCATCAATCTGAATTTTTCAAGTATTTTTTAAGTGGACGCCCTAATTAAAAAGCGCCAGCGCCAGGTACGTGACAAAGGACATCGATGGCTGAAACATAAACCCAAGACATACCATATTTTCCAAAAATTATATAACCAACAAAGGAAGGGAAAATATTTTCTCTGACATTGTCAGCGAAAACAAATTCGTATGGAAGTTGTTTATTTTCTTGGGCCTAGGATGAAAGGACCTCAAGGATAGCCTGGCCGGCCAAGAAACCCATGAGCACGAGATGCGGCAACAACAATAATAAAAAAACATCCTTTGAGTCTGTTGTCCTTTTCCATTGTCACGATCAATTTGTATCGTGTCGGCGCGTGTTTCCATTTTGTCCATATTTACCTTTCCACCGCAAACTATCTTCTTACCTGAAAAGGACAGCCATCTGAGCGGGAGTTCTGGCCATCCACTTACCTGGCCGTCGCTCTGACGTGGCAAATGGCAGCCGTCTGTGGCTTGGCCGCTCGATTAGCGATGATCAGTGCGGCTTAATCGTGGCTTCTTGACGGATTCCTCTAAAAAGTCTATATTTAAATAGGTTCAATTGCTGTTTGTTATTATTTGCCTTGCTGTGGGAAAACTTCTCACAGTCTTTGAAAATCTGCTGGAAATGTGTTCGACTTCAGGGATATTGCATCAAATCCAGCCAAGGATCTTACCTAATGGCGATTAAGGTGTTTATCTACTTAATTCAGTCGCATGTGCCATTGTTTATTCAACAAATTAACTATCTTTGATATAAACATATGGCCTTTGCATGACAAGAAAATCTACTAGGGATATGATCCACAGGTCCATTTCTGGCTTATAGATGTCATAGCTTTTCAAGCCTTTTTCCTTAGACTCTATGAAGGATCTGCAGATAAGACCCCAGAATTCAACTCGTTATCGCCGCATTAAAAGAGTGTTAAAGACATGTTCTCAACGACCATTAAAATGGCTTTTGATAAGAGCCCAACTCTTTAGAAGACCGCAGGCCACTTGAATTGGATGCCTCGCTTCGGTTTATTGTAGAAATTTTATTTGAATTTCCACCACATAACGATGCTGATAATTGGCGTTTAAGGAGTCAAACGACCAGTATCCAAAGATAGAGGGATAAGAGCCTGCCAAGAAATGTATCCGAGGAGTGTTGGATTACCAGAGTGCAATATTTATGGCTGCGATGTACACGAAAATATTAAAAATGCATAAATACATCGGCACCCAACCTCTCTCGGCGATGATCGTCCTGATATGTGAGACACTTGCCACACAGTTGACACTTGTTTGCGGGGTGGGGAGCGGGGTACCTGGTAAACAACCCCTGGGGCAACCCATTTTCGGGGCACCATAAAAATGTCAAAATAATTTTGAGCCAAAATTTTGGTTCCAAACAGCATGCTGGCTTGGGTTTTGGTCTCGTGGGATATAAAAATATGTATTTTATGTTTCAATTGGACCTCGGTGGTTTTCATTGGATTCTCTTCTATAAAAAATAAGTACCTAATTATACGACTTTTCGCCATAAACAACAGGCATTCGATATGTTGTATATGTTGGATTTGCTCTCCACAAGAACATGCTACAGAGAACTGTGGCACGGCTCATTGAGAATCGGAGATCGAGTGTGAAACAGGGCACCTCCTTGCCCTTCACAGAGACCCACAAGACTATCCTTTTTTGTCCTGAGACTTGTAATAAATCACATCATTAGCATAGCATTGCCATAGCTGCACGGTTGATTTATCGGTTCGGGATAGATCTTCATGTTTGTTGACACTCTAGACCTCCGAAACTCCGCCACAAGTACTGGAATATATCCAAATAGAAGCATGGGGAACCACTCAACCCTGACTCACATTGGGAGGCGTATTCCAGTTGGGGCTTTAAGGCCGCCTACCGTTATTTGCATTTGTACCCAATGCATTTCGTTTATTCGAGTCGAAAACTTATCTAAGCTAACTGAGCATAACACCGCCTGCTTGGGGTCACTGGGGAATTAGAGGGGTGGATAGGGATTTGGCCCACAACTAGGTGGCTTAAGAAAACAAGTGTGAGAACTGGAAAATGTATGAGAGGTTACAGTATGTCTGGTTTTTTATACTCTTAAAAGTATGAAACTTTTTGAATATTTTTATAATGAATGACACTGTTCATTAGCTTTATTCAACTCAATGACATGATCTATTCACGTGTTAATATTGATTTCCAGACCCCTGTGACGTCTATTCAAGTTTTTCAAGCTGAGCATTCAATAAAATCAAGGTTAAAGTTCAGTTCGGAACCCGGCACATGCAGCCAACGAGCTCGAATCGAAAAATTCAAAAATTTCATTCGCTTAAAATTTGTAGATTTAGACTCATATTTAGTATACATACATACAGAGTATGAAACGCGTTTGGCAGCAAGCGTCTATAGAACCGGGACATCGGCCTCATGGCTAGGGAAAGGTCCGGTCTAGACGCCCCTCTCCAAGCCACCATTTTAAAAAAACAATTTCAAAAGCGCGTTATCAGCGACGTTTTTCGTATGTGTACTTACATATAAATGTACACTTATTATTTTGTTTTTATGCCAACAGAGGTTATGCTGTTCATGTTGAGCTATTCACGAGCATTATACCAAACGTTCATTTTTAAACCGACAAGTACAATTTATAGTCGTTTTCAGATTTATTTGAATCTCAGACCAGGGCTCTGAGGCGAGCCGACCCACTTGAGTGTCGCCTACTTTTCAATTGACCATCGATCGTAAAATTGTTCTCAAAATGTCTAAACAGATCGTTGGTGCCTATTCAAATAACGATAAAAATGCCATAAAATCACCGAACGAGCCTCCCAAGATCCCACTCGAAAATCCGATTTTACGACTTGTCGTCGTCCTGGTTCAAATGTAACAATTTTTAATCAGCCATTAGAGACCAACTTCAGTTCATAATTTTTACGATCAGTTTGAAATATTTTTTTGGCGCGCCGTGTCGGGAATTTGCAAAGGAAAGAGGATCCAACGTCGAGACGGAGCCATGGAGAAAGACCTTCTCCGGGCCCTTTTCTCACGGCAAGGCTCCAGCTCTCACTTGTCGCGCTCTTTTCTTCGGGTCCTGAAATTCTACACGCTTCTCGTATGGATTTTAATGTTCGCATCCTCGCGTTAGGCATGAATATCGTTCAAGTACTCCTGCCATTCCTATACGCTTGTTATTTTCAAATTTAGGAACAAATTTTTAAAAGATTTAAGGGACTTGCTTCACTCATAATTCCGTCTGATTTATGCTTACAAGGGGTAGGAGTTTATACTACAAATTTAAAAATTGTCCGTGAAGAAAGTAAGCGGTTAAATCGATTTATTTTGCCTAATCGTCCATGACTAAATTTAAATATTAATTTGAAGGTGCTTTCTCAAATATATACAATAAATTTCTAGCCTTTTAAAACCCAAATTAAAGGGCAAAAAATGAAATTTTACACTATGAGTAATGTGCTTAGAATTTGTGGAATTTAATCTCTTAATATCGAGGGGTTTATTTCTTTTGATTTTAAGTGCCTTGGATCCAATGGCGGGAACCATTGAATTTTTAAGTTTGGAAAAATATCATCAAGCTTATTCCCTATGATTTTTTGTTTAATAATTAAAAATATAAGGTTAAATTTTATGTTATTTAAAATAAATTGTAGATTTTAAGCTGGCAACTGGCAGCCAACCACAACAAAAGCGACCACAACAACACCAATCGAATCAACAGTCGAGGCAACAACAACAACACTAGCAACAGCAGTGGCAGCAACAACAATGAGCCGGCATGGCCTCCGCTTCGGCCTGACCCCCGCCCGACCGATCATTGTTGTTGTTGCAGCTTTTGTGAGAGGCGTAGCTAAAAACAGGCAACAGACATTGGCGAGAACGAGAGCCAGCGAACAGGCAGCCGCAGCAATGGGTGAACGCAATGTGTGCGATAAGGTCGGCAGCAGCAGCAGCAGCAGCAACACCACCAGAAGCAGCGGCGAAGGAAGAGAGAGAGGGCTCCAAGGCCCCAACGAGAGAGAGGAACCAACCGAGAGCCGGAGAGGAGAGTGCAAGCTTGGGGAAGCTGTACATGATCGATTGAGTGGCGTTCGTCTAACGGCATGTGGAGCAAACGCAAAGGCAAAAGCAAAGCAAACAACTGTAATTGTACGGATGAATGGGGAGAGGCTGTGGGCGGAAGAAGGGGAGAGGGAGCTGGCGCTGGAGCTCAGCTTGGGGACTCGGACGGGAGAGCTCTCATCTTGGTTCGCTGTAGTGTGGATTCTAAAAACGAATGATTTTTTACGATTTTATTATATTTTGTTGTTCCGTGTTTCGAAATTTTAAGCGCCCGGCGCGCGGCAGTCGATTGGCGTTTAAATCAGTTCAGTTTGTGTGAAAAACGCGCCGGACACGGACACGTACGTGGATCGCCCCGGAATCGAGTGACTCAAGTGGATATAGGGTGTCTGTCTCTCCGGTACTTGATCATCGGCAGACCAGCATGACCAAGACCAGCAAAACAAAGGACAAAAGCTCCAGCGCGGGCGGTGGCGCAGGCGCAGGTGGTGGGGCTACGGGTGGACCCAAAGTGGGTGGCAGTTTGCTCGCCAATGCCGCCGACATGAAGATCTTGAAGGCAAAGTCCAATGCCAAGACGCTGCAGCAGCAAAAGCAGCAGCAAGGACGAAACGCACTCGGTGGGTCAGCAGGATCTGCGGCGAAAGGGACGGCGATAGCCGCGGCGAGTGAAGCGATCGAGGCGACGCGAGCCGAGGCAGCGACGCCGGCATCGACGCAACCGCCGGCAGCAGCGCCGACCGAAGCGAATTTATCGTCACTTGAGTCCGCGCGCTCGCAGGCTCAGACTTCAGACTTGTTCGAACCAGCGAGGCAAACGGTTACCGCAGCCACAGCCAAATCAGAAACAGAAACCGAAACAGCCGAAGAATCAGCAACATCGGCGATCAGCAACGATCCGAGTGCGATAAACAACAATAACAATAACAATAGCAATCCGACGGGAGACGACGCGAGTGAAAGTGTTGATAACAAAATCAAAGTGATAAACTATGCCCATCAGTCCCCAGCTGAGGCAGAGGAGCAACAACAACAGCAACATCATCATATCTACGAGCAGCAGCAGTTTCTAAGCCAGCAAATAATCAGCCAGCAGGAGCAGCAGCAGATACAGCAACAGCAACAACCATCATTACCGCCACAGGGGAACCAGGATCAGCAGCCACATCAGCCCAGTTGGCTGGCTTACGACTTGACGAGCGGATCAGCAGCAGCGGCGGCGGCAGCAGCAGGCGCCCTGGCCGCTTCGCATCCCTTGTTCAGCCACTTCCCGTATCCAGCAAGTCATCCGCCCACCCAGCTCTACGAGCACTACCAGAGCATCACCGGCGCCAGCACGGATCCCATAATGCGGAACAACATAGCGCTCTACAGCGTCTACGGCGGCGGTGGGGGCGTGGGTGTGCCCAGCCACGAGCCCCTCTCCCAGCACGTCGTAACCGCCGCAGCAGTGGCGGCAGCAGCAGCAGCCCACCATTCCACCTCCAACATCGACGAAGTGATCCAGGACACCCTCAAGGACGAGTGCTTCGATGATGCCCACAGTACCAGCTACCACATGCTGACTTCCGTGGCGGATCTCCAAACGCTCAAGGACAACAGTCCGGTGAGCGCCATATACGCCCTCACCCAAGAGCAGCTCCTCCACCAACAGCAGCAGCAGCAACTCCACCACCAGCAGCAACATCAGCAGCAGCAACTGTATCACCAGCACCATCACCACAACACTTCGACGAGCTCGGCTGGTGGGGATTCGCCGTCGTCGGCCCTCCAGAGCTTCACGCAGCTGACAACCGCCGCCCAACGGGACAGCCTCTCGCCGGCGGAGCACGGCTACTTCGGAGCCACCCAGCTGAGCCCCAGCCTGCAGACCAGGTGAGTGTTGTCGCTAGTTATAAGCTCACTATCACGAAGTCGCACGTGCCTTTTGGCGACACTGTCGAAAGTCATGATCGGAGCGCCGATCAGCGATCAGAGTAGAGAATTGGCTCTGATTCATATTTCTCCGCCTCCTCCACTCCGGGTTGAGTTTCTCTGGACAGATGGAGGGACCGAGTGACGAACGAACAAACAACCCAACTCATAATTGTTGCTCATTGTTGCCGATTCCGATTCCTATTCCAAATCAGAATCTGAATCGGAATACGACCAGAGTCCAGCTCTCCAGCTCTCTAGAGTTATGGTTATGGCGCCGTGACATTCTCAGGTGGTTTACTCAATATGTGTGGAATGCGAAAATCTGTTCCACTTGCCTCTAACTAGCTAGTTAGTTAGTCGGGATCGGGGAATGTGTTTCCCAGTCTCGAACATTCAAAAACATAAACAAAACACAGTTGTGTTTGTCTTTCCAGATGTCTCATGTGCGCGGAATATTTCAGTATTCCAGATGGGTTATTGGGTCACAAATGGGCGTTGATTTAAAAAACCATCAAGATATAATATTAAATAATAGATAATAGAATAGATTGGTGAGACGGCAACCTTCTCGATGGCCAAAACAAACATTGCAAAGTGGTCTCGCACTTTGCGTCGCCTTGTCGTCGTCTTCGGTTCTTCAGAGACTCTGCCCGCCGCCGAAGAAGTCTTCTTCAAGCTCGAAGCTCAGCAAAAAATATATACAAATCGGTGCTCAAATTTCGTAAACAAGAATATGCAATGTCTTAATTATTGACGTAAGGGAGGCCTCCGTTTTCTGACTCATGACTTTTCCGTCCCATCCTTTCCCCCAAACAGATGTTGGCCCTAACCGGTTGACTAGTTTCCTACTAGACCAGCATGGCTTGGCTAATAAAATAGAACACGTGTCCAGGTTGTTGCCACTTTTGGCTTGGGACCAGCACGTGCCTCACAGTGCGGCAGCCAAAAAATTAAAAATATAAAGGGGGCGTGACCCGCATTTGAAACTCGGGGGACTTTGCCACCAAAAACGAAAACGCCAAAACTGCAATTGAAGCGCATTTTTCTAGCTTGTTTTGGGTATTCAGTTGCAAGTTCTACTGCTTCAGTTAGGCGGTGAGGTGTGAGGATACCTGTTGAGTGTCCGAGTATGGGTAGCGGTGGAGTAATCCAAACCGATCCCGTGACATAGAAACCATCACACGAAACCCAAGTCCGGCAACAGAGAAACAGCTTCAAAGGTTCTTTTCTTTTTGTGTTTTTGTTTTCAGGGTAGCCGTTGCTGAGTCAGCAACCCTTGACTGGAGACGGGAGTAGGTGCCTCTATGGAATAGGAAGGCCTAGGGGGGACAAAGGTGTTATATAGTGGGGTAATTCTCTAACGATCGGTGGGAGGCAGCGGACCCAACGCACCCGCACATTGTGGATCTCGTTCCTGTTTGTTGGAAAATGTATTTTTTTTTTACATTTCTCAGTTCAGTTGGGTTATTGTTAGGGGTTTAGTGTTGTTTTTGTTGCTATGTTGTTATTTAAATTGGAAACGTGTTTTGCATATTGTATGGAAACAGGCATGAATGCACATTGAGTTGGAAAAAATAAAGTAAAATAATGAATTCTAGAAAAACATATATAGACATTTGAAAGATCAATAAAGGTATTAAAGCTTAGACATAGATCATATATCTTTATAATAAATAAAATAGTTATATTATAGTTTAGATTCTATTTTTAAATCTTTCTAAAAGTATCTCTTTCGGAGACTTGACTCTCAATTTTTTTTGTCGCATTTCCCCAACTCTGTTTTCCACGGTTTCGCATAGACGGAAATATACATACATACATATAGTACAGTACATCTGAGACCCGATGATCTCAAGCTGTTGGCGGATGATGTGGTGGTGATGAGGTGCTCGTCATTACCTGCTCGTATGTGACTTTTTGGTCAGTTTCGTTTTGTGGCAGTAAGAAACCAGAAGAATATATCACGAGCTCACATGCCAGATGGCGCATACAGACCCATACACATATGCATTTTGCGAAAACCAAGAAGTCAACGCAAAATACTCACCTGCAACAAACAGCAGCAACAACTATAGTAACAACAACAATCATTAAAGCAAAACAGCACAGAAGCGATAAAATAATATCGTTGTCGTGCATTTTTTGTTGTCACTCAGACTTCCTATATGGTATGGTATTTTTCGCAGCTATGTATTTGAGAATGGCATGGAATATGGAGCTATAGCTAGGGCATCTCAGTTCCGTTGTTATCAGAAAGCGTGCGCATCTAGCTGCCAAGACTTTGTTGGCCATTCCACCAATAATTTCTGGCCACAAAGAGGCAACGAATTATTAGCCAGCTTGTTTGATAACTCAGCGCAGTATATAGATTTCGATTTTTTGTTTTGGCTTCGTTATTGTGTCACACAATCTCCAGTGGTGTTAGGGTGTGTAAGACCCACAGACCAGAGATATCATTTGGCCAACACTTATTGCCAACAAAAAAAAAAACAGTGCAGCAGCAACAACAGCGGCAGCAGCAGCAGCAGCGGCGGCGACAACTGCAAGTGCAACTGCATTGGCATAAAACTAAACCCGACTCAAGTCATTATGCAAACGCGCGTGCCCCGATTTGGTTGTGGTTTCTTCTCAGTCTCAGTCTCAGTCTACAAATCTTCCAGCTTCCTCTGGAGAACTAAGCCCGAAACAAGACTGAAATAAAAATAAAATAATACGAAAATGCAAAGTTCGAACTTAAAGCTGTAGTTTTTCGCGTGTTTCCTGTGCGGCTTGAACAGATCATGTATTTTTGTCGAAAAGGGTTGTACAAGACAATGGAGAATATTATTAATTAATTTTCAATTGTTTATTATGTGCAAAAATAATGCTGTTGCTGTGTTAGTGAACCATTTAAAGTGTTTAATCCTCTGTGATCCTTAGTGATCTGCCAAGATAGCAGATTTATCCCCTTTTTGGTCGATTTGTTGATTTAAAATTTAAAAATAATATTTGCACAGGCTACTGTGGCTAGAGGTTGCAAAAATTAACAAAAAAAAAGCTAAGAAAGAGGAAGTTCTCGTCCATTACGTAAACTTTTTTGTTTTGTGGGCCAAGTGTAAACAGAGCTGGACCACTTTTGTTCTTTAATTAAAAGGTTTATGGGCCGGACCCGGACCCATACAACTGCAATACTGCAACACTGCAAACATCCCAAAAAAAACTGGATGCTGGTGGTCCACTAACTGCAGCAACAGCAACAACAAAAGCCAAAACAACTTTATATTCTTGTAAAGTAAACAAAAACAAGGAAATCCTAATAGTGTCTCGTATTCCTAACAGAGACAGCCACCCCATAACAGAGCCCTTAACATAAGCTGTTGAAAACGCCCCCGAAACGCGAGCAAATGTGTGCCTAGCGTTTTTAAACGCCTAACATTACTCGCTCTATTTGTGACAATTGCGATACAAAAGTCGAAATGTTTTTCTCAAACTACAACAACATGTATCTGAAAAACTATTGCTATAGGTAAAAAATACAAGATTTTCAATAGAAACTAATATAAAATTAAATCGAAGAATCATTTATTTTAGTGTCATATTTATTTATTATTTAAATGTTTCATTCCAGTTCCGTGTACGCTGGGCCCTTGCTCACCCAGACAGCCAACGGCATGCCGTACGGAATGCAGTCCCCCAACCATACTCAAGCCCACCTGCAGCAGCAACACCACCACCAGCAGCACCAGCAACATCAGCACCACCAGCAGCAGCAACACCAGCAACATCAGCAGCAGTCGCACCACCACAACTCAAGCAGCAACAGCCCCGGCTTGCTCCAGTCGGCCTCAACGCCAGTCAACGGACACAACAGCTCCATGCTGGAGGACGGCTACGGCTCGCCGAGGAGCAGCCACAGTGGCGGCGGCGGCAGCGGCGGTGGCACCCTGCCCGCCTTTCAGAGGTTCGCGTCCGCCAGCAGCGGCTACGGCAGCGGCGTGGCCAATGGCTCGGTCAGTGGCGCCGAACGAAGCTACTACGCTTCGGTGCCACATTTGCGCGGTCAGGTGAGTGTGGTTTTACTTCCCCTTCCGCCCCCAAGGACTCGCAGTAACTCCTCTGTCTCCCATTGAAGAACGAGCACTGGAACTATGATCAAATCAGCTACGCCTCCGGCACACCTGGCCAGCAGTTGGGAGTCCCCGTTGGAGCTGGAGTCATTCGGAACGGAAGGGCCATTACGGCGGCCAACAATGCGGCAGCAGCAGCCGCAGATGGATCGGCGGGACGCGTGGATGCAGGATACCTCTCTGCCTCGGCATCGCTGTCAGCTTGTAAGTTTTTTCCAAAATTAAAAATCTTTTTAAATTAAATATAAGGCTAGACTAGGATAAATAAGATACATACGAAAAGTAAACACAGGCCAAGATCCTTTGCCATTTGCTTGCCAGCGAGGGAAAGGATCTTAGGTAGAACTTCACACATCAGCTCAGCAAGGAGAAAGGATATTTACGCAACCTGAGTAAACCACGAGCTGTGAGCAGCTGTTGTCCTGAAATCCTTAAGCATTCTAAGTATATTTTATGCATTATTTGTAAGCCTACGTCTCTATAATAAATTCAATTAATTTTATTTCAACTCTTGAGATAAAATCAAACCAAAACCCAAAACACCACAGAAAGCAAACCCCCATAGAAATACAAACAATCTAAATATTAAAAAAAAACCAAAAACACACACAAAAAAACTATTCAAAACGCAAAAACAAAACAAACACATTAGCCAAAAATGATGATGATTTTTTCCGAATATTTCTATGTTAATCTCTGAAGCATTTATCGATGCCGATATTTTCACTGAGGGGCGAGAATGTGTCAATTGTGGTGCAATTACAACCCCACTCTGGCGACGCGATAACACGGGACACTATCTGTGCAATGCCTGCGGCTTGTACATGAAAATGAACGGCATGAATCGACCCCTAATTAAACAGCCTAGAAGATTGGTAAATGTCTACAAAAAAAATACACAAAAAATCAAAACAAAACATATCAACATTTATTACTAACCAAAAAAAAAAGCGCTTTTTGTGTGGAACAAAATTTCTATGTGTGAGAACTTTAATGTCTAAGGGATAAAGCTTATAGAAATCCGCCTCCGCCAGCCTCAGCAATGCCCTCCCGATCCCAGCCCCCCACCAACCAAAAAAGAAAAAAAAAACAAAAAAATAAGAGAAAGAAAAGAAAATTAATTGAATTTATTATTTTATAAAATGGCACTTAGTTTAATATGAAATCGAAATCAAATCGAATCAACAACAAACGTTCTGATTGCTCAATTACAGTGGCCGCTGAATCAGGCGGGGATTTCTATAAGAACTACCAATTTAATGTGGCCGGCGGCGGTCGTAGTAAGGCCAGCAACAGCGCCGCCAGTTCGCAGGCCAGCCTGTCTGGATCCTGTCCAGCTTCTGGCCAGGGTGTAACGTCGACAACGGCGACGGCAGCGGCGGCGGCGGCGACTGCGGCGTCAACGCTCACCGACGAGCACGTTAGTCGCGCCAATTCGAGACGCATGGTAGGTCGCTCATTAATTACCGATACCGAAACCCCAAACCCAATCAACCCAAAAGAAACCCAACCCAAGAAACCAACCAAAGAAGTAGCGCCCACTAACCTCCCCCACTAACCTGTATGAGTGGCCACCTAGCCACCTAGAAAAGTTGTTCCACACGAAAAGCTAATGCCTCCAAAGCCATTTCAATGTAACTAACGAATCCTCTTGCCATCCCCCATCCTTTAGAGCGCCCAGAAGCGAGCCGGACTGTCCTGCTCCAACTGCCTCACCACCTACACGTCCTTGTGGCGCCGCAATCCCAATGGAGAGCCAGTCTGCAATGCCTGTGGTCTTTACTTCAAGCTTCACAACGTCCCCCGACCGTTGACGATGAAAAAGGATACCATTCAGGTGAGTTGCCCTTAAAAGGCTCTGAAAGATTGGAAAATAATAAAGAATCCTTTTCTTTTATAGAAACGCAAGCGTAAACCGAAGGGTACCAAAAGCGAGAAGCCCAAAAAGCTCAAGAACGCACTGAGGAGCACTCTGGAAAGTGGATCCTTGGCCTCAAACTGCCAGTTGGTGGGCCATTTGAACAGCAGCCAAATGGGCGTCGATGGCAATGATGGTGAGTAGTTTGTTGTGTGACCTCCTCATTAGCGTGCATGCCTAATTCGTGATGTTTGCTTTCTTTTTGTTCCTCCGATCACCGATCACCGCTCACCGTTCACCTGGGCAGAAATGAAACCATACATGCCATACACATCGCAGCAGCAACAGCAGCCGTCACAAAATCAGCAGCAGCAGCATAATCAGCAATCCATGGCCGACCAGCACTCGTCGGCGGCCAGCTCGCCCCATAGCATGGCATCCTCATTGTCGCCCTCAGCCACATCACATCACCATCAAAATCCCCACCAGCAGCTCTGCTCCGGCCTGGACATGTCGCCCAACTCGCCCTACCAAATGTCCCCCATCAACATGCAACAACAGCAGCAGCAGCAGCCACAGCAATCGTTCAACATGCAGCACTCACCCAGCACTCCCACATCCATCTATAACACCCCATCGCCCACCCACCATCTTCACAATAACAACAACAATAGCACATTGTTCAACAACAACAATAGCAGCAATGAGAATAACAATAAATTTATTCAGAAATATCTGCAAGCTCAGCAGAACGGGAACGGGAGCAGCAGCTCCACCAGCGAGCAGCAGCAACAGCTCCTGGCCCACCTGATGCCGAGCTCGATTACGGCGGCGGCAGCAGCTGCGGCAGCGGCAGCGGCGGCAGCGATCAACACGATCAAGTCGGAGGCATCGGTGTCCTCCACACCACAGGCCCACACGCCCTCAACACCGACCACGGCATCCACCCCATTATCCTCGCTGAGCCTCAACAGCACCAGCAACAACAACAACAACAACAGCAGCATTATCAGCCTGCAAAATCCATATCAACAGTTGGCACAGCTTGGACAGGCGGGGACGCCGTTGTTTAAGTCCGGACGCTCCTCTCCGCCGTACTACCTCTCGCCTGAGGGTGACGATCACCCGACCCACATCAAGCTGGAGGAGATGGATCAACAGCAGCACGGGGAACTAATGCTGGCCCGATCAGGTTCTCTGGACGAGCACTACGAACTGGCCGCCTTCCAGCGACATCAGAGCCTCCAGCAGCAGCAGCAGGAGCAGATCGCCAACTATGCCATGCAGCTGCACGAGATTGAGCGGAAATTCTCAGGCGTTGAGCGGGATGCGGTGGTGAAGATGGAGTGATTGCAGCAAACATGAGAGTGCTACGTGTTTGCACCTGGACCAAAGAACCTGTTGTTATTTAAATCTCATAGCTCCAAAGAATTTATAGGACTTAGTTGCGCGTGTGTGTGTATACCAGGAGCAGTTCTACAAGAGCTCGCTCTCCAATCTACCGATTTCGGTCGCATTATCTATTGTATATACTATATACGACTTAAGCTACAAACCAATTGACATTTCCATTTTCGGCAAGTTTGTTATGTTGCCACGTACTCGAAAAATTGTTATTTAACTAGTTTAATTTTTAGCGAAATTCTTGCGAAAACAAAATCAGACCGTAGGCTAGAACCCATTCAACTTTGTTATCAAATCAAATACCTTTTGAGATTTTCTACAATCAAATTCCACTTAGGTTTAGGCCACTAATTTAAGTTAAGCCAGCAAACAATGACAAAGGAAAGCAAAAAAAAATTATCAAAGACAAAAATCAAAAAACAATCAAAGTAACCCACAATCTCATGCAATTTAGTTATTATTTTATACATATTTTTTACACATTTATCTATAAATATTTAATTCAAGTTAAGTTTTAGTTTCGTACACTCTTTTACATCATCTATGCAATATTAATTTTATTAATTTTGAACAAATAAACGACAATTGTCACTCAATGCTCCAAAGAATGTGTTATATTTTTTTAAAGGAAATACCGTCTTATACGGCAACATGGCGTATGCGGAATGTGCTAGTTCCTGTCAGCCATGAGTAGTGTTGTAGATTACTTTTAGTCTTTTCTTATACACAGAGATGGATCCAAATGCCCCCTAAAAGTATGCTTTGAAATTTGGAACATTTCCACAGCCCAAAAAAGTATGCTATAAAAGTTGTGTACAAGGACTTGTGTAGAAAAGAGATGTAGAAGACTCCTTTTGAATAAATAATTTTAAGTAATTTGGAGGAAAAAATATCCTTTACAAATGAAGTATATAGTTTAGACCTAAAATGTTTGTAATGTTATTATATATGTATATGTATATATAAATATTTATCATATATTTTGTCATATATTTTTAATTATTGTAAAAAATAAGCTGAAATTTAAGAAATCAATAAAACAACATAACAAATCTTTCTTTAAGTTAGGTATTCGTTTTTTTTCAAATAATAATTTATATACAAACCGTTATATGTATATATATACAAGAACAAAATATAAAGGGATAGCCAAGTATTGGTGGGTTATCCTTTATCCTATTTTTTTTTTGGCCCAAAAATACAAAATAAATAATAAATTCTTATAAGCTTTATTTGAAATATAAATTTTACAGTTTTTGGATGAAATGAATTTTCGCGCCAAGCATTAGGGTCCACCCTGGAATAACGGAAAAGAAAATAACATTTTCGGTGTATCTGTGTGTGGGTTAGTGTGAGTGTGCGGGGGAAGTACTCTCATATGTATGTGTGTATTATATTATTTTGTGCGCCGCCATTTACGAAAGCGACATTTTCAGTGATAAGATAACGTCGCATTGCTCGGTACCCTCTTCCTCGGCCTCTTCTCTATTTATAATTCTTTTTTTCTTTTTGCTCTATTTCTTTTTTAATAAAGTTTCAGTACTATCGTGGTGTTGTTGGTCTTTTTTATGGGAGTCACGCGTTACAAAACGACCACAACAACAAAATCTGAAAGTCACTTCATGTAGAAAAACAGTTTTTTGTTTATTGCTAGGGTTGTTAGCTCGTCGAGTGGGGTGTGGGGTGGGATGGTGATGGGCTGGGGGAATCGAAAGGGTGTGTGATCGGGGGTTGGGGATCGGAGGTGGTGGCGGTGACGGTGGGTGGAGCAAAACACCACTCTGGTGGCTACGTGACTGTACGCGTCGGCTTGGATGGCGAACTGGCTGGGCTGGCCTGGCTCGTGCACCACTCAAGTGGGTGGCTCTCGGTTGCGTCCAGTGGTTTGATTGATACCCTCCACTGATTAGCCTCGTTGCCTTTATCCCCAAAAGATAAACATTTGTTTTCGGAATGCCAAGCGTCATTTAATAATGGGCCTTTATTCGCTCAGAGTCTAATTTGTATATACTTGTACTTCATATATGTGGCTACTATCTGAGAATATATACCCTAATCGGTCGTTGTACAGATTTTTTGCAAAACTTTCACTCATGAGATTGTTAGTTTTGGAACCGGGTCAGGGTTTCGCTATCGAATCTTTGGGCAAGATAATGATGTGATAATGCCAGTTGCATAGCCTTGTATTTATACATGATAAGATATACATATGTGGGAATGCCATAATCTTATGTTTGGGTCTTAAATAAAAGTTACCTCTTAAATAAAGGAGAAATATGAAAAATGAAAAACTTAGACCTTAAATATGACTCATAATATTTATTCTTAAATTTATTCTATATACGTAGCTTTTTGTATAGCTCTTTTGTTAATCATTGTTTGGAAATCATTAAGGCCTTAGACTGATTTTGTTGACTGTAATTTCATGGGAGCTTAGTCTTAAAGTTTGCTGTAAACAAACATGTTATTTATTTGCACATAAACGAGGCTAAATGGCTATAAAGGTGATCTTTCTTCTAAAAGTATACATTCATAGATCTTTAGAGACAAGTTTTTCTTGATAATACTTCTTAAATCAAAACTCATGCACTTTTCAGATAAAATGTATATTAATTCTTGAATTTCGAGTTCAGTTTGGAGCCCTGTCACTGAATTTCTCAAACTGTTCCGGAAACTAAATAGGCTTAAGCTCCACCCTAAGGACGTATGGCACAAAATGGAGATATCTTGGGATGATTGAGTTTCCTGAAAGGTTTGCTTTCTGGGAATTGTTGGCTTTATGTCACGTATCCATATAAAAATTTGTTGTTATACCATCACTCATAGAACGTGGCTGTATATACCAGTAACACACACACTTATAGTCCATAATTTACGATGAGTTCATTTTCGGCCTGACGCTCGCCATTTTATGGCTCTATTTTTCTTTTATTAGAAGCGTTCTGTTGCGCATTTTTATATTCGCACTTTTCTCCACGGCCGCCTTGGAGCCCGCCCCGCGGTCACTTTACGATCCGGATTCGCCCTTTCATCGTTATAATGCGTTTATATTATTACTTTATAATTGCGGAGCGGAGCGCGTTTTAATGGAAAGTGCAAAACTTACTGTGCCAGCCACGAAATAACCACACTCGGTAAGATATCTGGGGTATATATGATTTTTTTACATGCCCATTCCATAGATAGGCAATCTGTATCTGTGGCACGATAATGCTTATAAATAAGATAATATGATTTGATAATGGTATTTACCATATGCAGAAACCGTAGCCGTAAGGCCTTCGTCCCAGCTACCCAAGGTTATGTAAGTCTCCTTGGGTAGATACACCTTCTGCATAATATTCAAGAATTTCCCGGGTTTTCTTGGGTTTTTAGAATTGCGGTGCACCTAATTAAATGTTTGACAACTTGTCCGACTTATTTAGTGTGAAAATGCACCGATTTTCGGCCTGGGTAGGTATACTATGTATGATGTGGGGGTATGAGTCTGAGGTCTGAGGTCTGAGCTGTGCAAATAGAGTTGCATTTAGAGCACTCCCCACCCTCTGGCCGGTTCTGTTCTTTTCCATTCTGTTTGTTGTTTGAGTTGACTGCTTTTAGATGTCTTCTTCGGGTTGTTACGTACATGTTGCTGTTTTTTTACCTTACTTTTTCGTTGCCTTATCGCACAACTGACGTTTGTACTTCAAAATGTGTACTTAAGATAATGAAAACGGGGAAGAAGCAGCCGGGCCAACATCAAGACATCAACAAATGAAAAAGAAACCCACATATGAAGCATACATAGACGAAGAACCGGGACTGTCACAGTTTTGAACTTTGAAAACTTTGAACTCTGTCACTCAGCCACTGGTCTGAAATTCTTGGATAAGATCGGCAGCACAAAAAAAAGCCTTGCAATTTCCGAGAATTTCATTAAAGTATATATTTTCGGTATGGTATCAGGCAAAAAAGTTAATAAGCATATTCTAATCTAATCAACGGATCGTTAATTAACTTCCAAAGTTGACTTTCGCTTTCTCAAGTGTTACTTGAGCGTTGCTTTGGCAGCTGAAATTTACACATTAGAACTTAGTGGTATCTTATCGAAGAGCCAAAGATCCATTGGGGCTGATTCCCAAAAAAACGCACAAAAACTTCTTACAACCGGGAATGTTATATAAAGATGGGACTTTATTTTTTATTGGCACATAAATGAGGACTTTATTGGCATTTTATCACATGGGTTTTGGGGCTTTAATAAACACACAAACACTAATAGGTATTATCCTTTGATTGAGATTCAGATTTTCTCGTTTCATCCCAATTTTGCGCGACGAACTCCCGATGGCAATGTTTCCATGTTGAAAATCCCAGTTACACTCACCAACTGTGATTAGATTCCATGCCGCTGGGCGTCCAAACTTAAGGAATTACTGAAAAATTCAAATTATTATCGCTTATTATCTTGGGACATTATCAGTTCAAACACTGATATACTGATACAGGCCGCCACAGAGAGAGAGGCACAGACCGTGCCCCGGTGCCCCTTGGCGGCAAATGGAAATGGATGGCGGAGGTGGAAGAGAAACAGAAACTGGAAACCGAGCTGGCAGTTAGCCTGCAGATACCCCAAACTGATACCGATATCCTACCAATGGCAGCGGCAGGAGCCGCCACTACAACAACACCGAATTGATAGCAAATCTTCATTATCTTATAAATACGGTTGCATTGGTGGTCGTGTATCGCTAAAAAGCCAAGATTAGATACTTTTATCTAGCTGGGTCAATCCTCCCCTCCTTTCCCCGCTGTCTCCCCGCAATCCTGTCAAGAAATTGGCTACGTCACAGATAGAGTTTCCGTGGTATTATCGGTTAAGCGAATTCCTCAGATTTCCATGTTTGTCCAAAGGGGAGTGGTTCGGAGGGGAGTAATGTTGTGGCTTACATTTTGAGTTTTGTTTTTGGGAGGGGACTTGGGGGCCTGTCCCGAGAGGAATATCTCCCATTCATACACACAAGTATGCGATTGTGCCCGTTGGGGAGTCGAAATCTCTGTTAAGATACGTTAACTTATCTAAGGCCACTATCTATTCTCAGATATTCGATATGTTCCGCTATATAGCGGAGTATTATATGCCACGACGATAGGAAAAATCACTTTGGTTGATAGGAACGATCAGTGAGTAGTGAGTGTGGTGACGGTCGAAGTTTTCACAGAAGCATTTCCTCAACCAGACGCGGAAAAGTCGGACGCGAATACCAAAATCTAACCATAAATATCTCATCGCTAAAATGCCTTTCCGACAAATTCTCGCTTTTATCGTTCGGGGGGAAAAAAAAACAAAATGTCAGCTTTCATAAGTAATAAATAATGTTTCGGCACGAACACGTATTACTTTTTTTTGGGGTCGGTTTACCAGCTACCTAACCAGACCCATACCCGTACTCGTACCCGGCCACTCACTCCAAGTGGCGATCCCAATCAACCCCAGTAGCCATGATTGTTAGCGTTAATGGCGTCCATGTAGCTGTGCCTCCACATCCCACATTGGCACAACAATGTACAACAACAGCCGCAAGCAACTCTTACGGATTATTATGGATTGCCAGTTATAATCATGACTCACCTGGCCCGGCCTCATTGGCAAACAAAGGTGCGTATACAGTGTACGGAATACAGAACAATCGAAGAGGGTTTCTGTTTCGAAGAAACCGAAGAAGCTCGGTTCTCCACATTATTTCTGATATTTCTGCTGCCAATCAATGTTTGGTTTTGAATACATATCTTGGGGAACCTGTATGATATGTATATTTTATATATTTGAACAGAAAAACATATGTTAATTCTCATTTGTGGCATATTCACTTTCTTTGGAGTACCTCTTCCGAAAAATAACAGGCTTTGTACGTCATTACTTCATATATATTCGATTGATTTTTGTTTTGTTAAATACAAAGATATTTATAGCCTCGTAATTTTAAAAAATTTGGGCCTTCGAGTTGAGTTACTTTTGTTTGTCATAATTTGTTATGGTGGTTTTAATGTTTTAAATAAATGGCTTATGAATTGTGCATTTTATGGCTGTCAAAAGTAATTTTAACAAAATGTAATTTTATATTAAAGGTATATGGTTAATAAAAGTGTAAGTTTATTATTTTAATTTGGTATTTTTTAAATAAATATGAACAAATTAAATAAATTTCTTTATAATAAGGCTTATGGTTAATAAATGACTTTTGGTCTCAATAACCTTATTTCAAACTGAAGCAAGTAATGTAAGAAATAAATTTTTGCTTAATATAGTCTTACTCTTAATATCAACTGCTTTAATTTTAATCAGCTTTGGGAGATTCCTCCATAAAACCACTGTCCTTTTATTACTGATATCCAAACTTTCCCCTGACTCACCCAAAAGATACATCACTGTCCGAATCGCCATCCGTAAGAATTCGAATGAGCATTATTTAGTCAAGTGACAACTCTTCGGAGCGTAAACAAAGAAAGCTCAGGTCTTTCACCAGGGCTTCCTGCAGAGGTAGAGCTCCTCCAGCTGCACCACCTTCTGCCCCACCATCCGTCCAACCTTTAGCCATTTTGCCTGCGGAGTGCGCAGTTCCATTTTCATAACTCATGCCTGAAATCGGTAGCGTGCCTTTGGCCGGATGATTTATGACCCCGGGGGAGAAAGCTTTGGAGCTCCGAACTCTGAGTTCCGAGTTCCGTCGGGTTAATAGAATTTACTTGAACCCAATTCGCCTGGGCCTGGAAGGCACAAACGGCGACCAGAATGCAGCCATTACTGGGCCACAGCCACTTCCATTTTATTCGATTGAGCCACGCCATTGCCGTCTGGCGGGGATTGGGCAACTTCTCGGGGTTGGATCGACCTCGGGGGAGTGGGGAGAGGCTTCCACCCCCGATGTTGGTTTTGATGTGGCTATAATTAAAACTAAGGCGCACGCCTTTGTTGGCGCGCCGGGCGTTTAATTTCCAAAGAGTTCTTCCCCTTATCGAAAATGGAAAAATACAACAAAAAAGCCCCGGTCTGAAATAATATTATTATGACAAAACAAGTGAAGAAAATTGTACAATGTAGTATAAATTAAATTCCGGAGAGTCACTCCAGCCACTGATCGGCGATACTGTCAACTGGCCAAGAACACTTATTGCCAGATAACTTTATAACTTTTTGGCTTTGTTTTTGGAATTGTTTGCCTTTTCGCCTCGCTTTATTTTTTGCCTTGAGAATTTTTTATTCGATTCGTTTTCTATTTTTTCTACTTTGGTCTTCCGCTGGCGCAGCACTTGAAATTGCACGGGCGTTGGACAAGTTGAAGGGTGTGCGATTCCCGACCGCGATACGACCGCTGCTCCAACGTCCAATGACAGTGGTCAGTAAGAAGGCCTCTGTCTCTGGTCCGCCGCCCCTAAGTCTTCCGCCGTAGAGCCGTAAATTCTCCGGCAAGGCGGCCAAAGCTAGGTGCGGCGGTACCATCAATTAGGGTATTAATTGCTTGGCTCTTCCAGGCCAAAGCCTCCCCTATGAGTCACAGGAAACAGTGTACACACGAAAAGCAGTTCAATCTTACTTTTACCGATTTTATTAAATTATTTTGAAAGAAATACGTTTTCATATTTTTCATATTTTACGTTTTCATATTTTACAAGTTCTAGAAACTAAATACCTTTTATAGATATTTAACTTTTAAACTAAATAATAAGATTAAATATGGTGATCTGCCAAATATACAATCTTCCTGGAATATTATTAATCCTTCCTTTCCGACCAAATACTTGATCTTACCATATCCAAAGTATACCATAAAGAAATAGACTTGAAATAGTTATAGAAACTAAACTTCCTCATAGATTGTAAACTTGTGATCAAAACTGATATTCCCCTTCTTTAAAATGTATAAACTTTGATCTCCCTGGGATAGTTTCGAGCCTTTGTAGCCTAAAACCACTTATAAGACATAATCCGGATTTAATATTCATCCAAGTGTACTTCAGAGACCAACAAAGTCGAGTCCTACTCTCGAATTAATCTCTTGTAATGTTGAATTCGTGTAGCGCCATTTGTAAAGCGACTCGAGGCCTGTCACATTCGGCGATGGAATCTTTTTTTCTGGGGGGGTGCGAGTTGGGGCCAGGGCTGTCAGCTTTTTGAGTGATTAATCACTGCAAAGATATTTTGCGACACTCCACAGCAGCTACTTGCAACCGGGGCAGGCTATTAGATACTTTTGTCTGACGGTTTTGCTCTTAAGATTCGCCCATGATTAATGCCCCACATGAGTTGCAACAATTAAAATAATCGCCCCAAACCGATTCACAACCCATTCATGGGCGGGGATCCAGGGAAAAAGTGCTGGTAATTGTGGCATTAAAAGCAACTCTACGGGGATCTTTATATCTCCCTCTCGGCCAAGTCGGTTGTGCATTTTAATGGTCGTCATATATCTGCTTGCTTTATGGCTTTAACTATAAACAATTTATGATTTGTTTGGCCAGGCTGTGCCAGTTTGGTTGGCTGATTTGTTTGAGGATGTCAGCCATCCATTGAAGTGAAAGTTGCAAACAATATAGAATTAAAAGGTACAGAATCGGTATATTTCTGGATATATCCGTAACTATTTTCTATCTAGTTCACTTGTCAGATTTTTGATCAAGCTTTCCACTCGTAAAATCGCAAACTTCAACCTTTGTCTGGCGTGTGACATTTCAGAGGTTTTGCAATTTATATTCCCCGGCACCTGATCCTCGACCACGTGTGTTTGCTGAGCTGCCTGGCTTCGATTTGAGTATTGGGTATAGTTCGCCCCCCAGCTCCCTCTCGGGGTACCTCAGGTTTTCATTAGTTACAACACTCGAGAGGTGATTGTGAAGTGGGAAAGTGGAGCGCCGCAACAGAGTATTGGAGCCGTCAGAGCGGCCCACATTCGAGGAGGAGGCGGAATGTGTGTGTACCCGAGTGTGGGGTCATATAAAGCTTCAGACGGCGACAGGTCTTCCATTCTGTCGGGGCAGCGAGGGGGAAGGAGGCCAATGGAATCCATGTCCAATCCAAAGCCATCGTTGACTAACGTTGGCAATGTTTATTAGTTTGCCAGAAAAGTGTTTTATGAGCGCAATTAGAAAATGCGCTAGACTAAATTGCACAATTGACAAATAGCTGGCTAGTGGAGTGGGTATGGGGCTTGTTGTGGGGGGTGCGGTGATCGGAGGGGGACCCTATGCCGGCTCTTCGTTACCCTACGAAGTGAAGCACGCAGGCGCAATTTGTATCTCACGGATACTTATCGCAGGCCAGGCAGCACCACCACACCACCACACAGGTAAACCTTATCGCCCTCGAACCGAGGTGTTGCGATAAGATAACCAATACGCGACCGGGCGATACAGACACGGACACAGAATAAATCATAACGCAGGGCACACGGACAGGGCCGCACACCCACACAGGTGTGAGTCCGCCCAACCGCAGCGGCGCCGTGTGCTCCGCCAAATGCGTGTGTGTGGGTAGGAGCTAATTGGGCGGCAAACGCGCGGCAGGCACCGCAATGCCGCAATGTTCCCGTCGTCGTTGTTGTCATCGCCAGTGAGGAGGTGCTCAGCCAGCCAGCCCGGGCCAGCCATCCAGAGCCGAGTTGGTCTCGAAAAAAAATAGCATTTCGTATCATCACTTACCGCTAAAGGTTGCGCGCTCGAGAATCGCTCCACGGATGGCACTAAAAATCACCGCAACCAAACCCTAAATAAAAGACATAGTTTTGCCAAATCTACAATTATTTGGTAATTTGCGCGCCAATTGATAAGAAATAAGTGCAAGTGATAATATTTTGAAAAAAACAACAAACCTAGAAAAAGAACCCAAACACAACAGAACAGAAATCTAGTGATAAAAACCCAATCTAAGATAAAACGTTGGAGGAGCCTATTTTAAAGAAAAGTTCTATTGATGGTCTGCAAAACTATCACAACGAGTGTGAAAATGCAGATGAAGGTAAGAAAACCTTTGAAAAATAGGTTTACAAAATATATAAAATAAAACTTTCAAGTTCGAACTTCCAACCACTATTTTTGTTCAAAAATAAATTTATTTTAAAAAGCAGTATGCCCACAAAATCACTACAACTTTGAAATGTCATAAACACAATCAAAAAAAAAAAATTAAGTCACTAAAATCGAACTCTTTTAAACATATTTAAATGCCTTTTAAAAGGTTCAATTTACGAGATCTATATAAGCCTATCTATCATTTCAACTTTGTTTTAAAGACAAGATCATAAAAAGTTTTCAACATTTTCTCACACGAGTTCATTAAGCTAAATAGACAAGCCATAGAGGGCCATAAAAACCAGGCTCTTAAAGTTTATAGATCGGCCACAAAACACTAATATGTAATAATTTATTAATTAGAGCCAAAGAAAGGATATGATTAAGGTTGGGGCTTAGCGCCGGGAAAAGAAGACTCGTCAAGGAGATAAGACAAATTGATTTATAAGGCAGTGAGTCATCGGGATGCAGCAGCAAAACTGCGACACTTATTTTTTTGTCGGCTCTAAAAAATAAACCCAACCGAAACCATTAAGAAAACGAGAACAAAAAACGAAACGAGCCAACAAAAACAACAGAAAGCCAGGTTAAATGTGGAAAGATGGCTAATCTTTATGAGGCCAAAATTGAATTCAGCTGCGATCGGAGGTGGCGTCAAAATACCTTTGACAGAGAAACGAAAAAAAATAAAAAATAAAATTTGAAACACGCTAGCCGACGTCGGCTGTGTGGCTCAGTTCATGAATGAAAAAAGGACTATTTTTTGGTCGGGCCTTTCCTAACGCCAGCACGGATAATGTGAAATTTATGTCAATCTTATCACCTCGCTTTGGTCCTGTCTCGAGCGTATCCTTAGGGGATGGAGTTGCCTTATGAATGAAGCCAGACCTTGGCCGTTTGGGGGTTAGTTTTCACTAGCCCGGAAGTGGCACTCGAACGGCCAATCGAAATCGAGTACGCTAACAGTTGCCCGATGGCGGCATCGATAGTTGCAGTTCCAGTTGCAGATACTTTTATTAGACACGCGTCGCCAGTTGACAGTTGATGGCAGATACGGCAGGGAAAAGGGCTCTCCGGAGTCCGGACTGGACAAAGGTTCGGATTGATGGCCCTTTAATAGAGCTGTAAATGCAGCTGGCAAATGGCTTATCTGACTTTCATTAGGCAACTGCAATGGACTTTAATTAATCGACGGATCTTCTAACAATGTGTGGATAGATACTAGGCCCGCGGCAATACTTTTTCCATTTAAAAACGTTTCTAAAAGGCGAGGACAAATTTATAGTTTCATAGATACTTTTAAAATTTAAACGCTAGGTTGAATAGGTTTTGTTTTAAGTTATTGAAACTTTAACAAATTATTCATTACAATGGTATTGAGTTTTTCAAAAGCATAAAATACCCCTTTATTAAATGCAAAAATATTTAAAATTTTTATGTTGATCTGTGCTTAAGAAACTAAAACTGAACTGAACTTATATGGTTATATTTATTTGAATTTAGTAAAATTGAATTGAACAACATTTTGAATCTAAAGTCTGTTATTATTTTATTTAAAATAACACAAACTAGTGTATCTACAACTGAGAAAAATCCCTTCTATTTGGATTGTGGATATTTTATTTTGTTCTCATAAATATTCAGATTTTAAAGATAGAATTTTTTGAATTTGCTTAGAACTTTTGTAATTCTATATTTGTTAAAACAATAATTTAACTTAAGACCAATAAATTAGGGATTAAAACTTTTATACTTTTTGGAACTTTTTTGTAGGTTTACTGCATAGAATCTCAAGTATGGTAACCCTACTAACAGATCCATATTAAACGAATTAAAAAAAAATGTTTCATTTCATAAGTAATTAGTAATTTTGTTAGCAATTCATTTCACAATCTTTTCCTTAAACCTCCTCCTCAGATAGTAATGATTAAAACGTAGCATCTGTTTACAATTAATCAATTATTAATGATTAATTGTTTAATACATATAATCTTTATTATAAATATTCATAAAATTCTCCAACGGAGTACGTAAATACATATGATATATATTGCAATCAACAAAGGTCAGCTCATTGAGGTTTTTAAATAGAAGTACCTTTAAGATTTTCTCAACTACAAAACGGAGCTCAACGAAAGCGAAACGAGGTGCGATTATATAGCCAATATCTTTTGTTTATATAGATAAAGTACAGGTACTGTGGGTGTGACTGAGCAGATTTCATTCATAAGTTGAGTACCGCACCCTGTTCCCTCCTTCTCCCACAACTCCACTCTGCGCAATGGGTCTTGACTAAGTCCGGCCGGGGCAAATAGCACATGCCACTCTCAAATGACAAACACAACCCGTCCACCTTGCTCAACTTATTGTAATTCTTGTCCCAATTGATGACGTAGCCTGGGGGAGATTGGGAACCTGGGGGTACTCCAACCATGACCTCTCAGAATCGCTCCCAGCAGAAACAGAAACAGAAACAGCAGCAGCAGCAACTGATTATGTACATTGATAGCGTCCGGATAAGATATTGTCCGTATCGTTCGGCCGTAGTATCTTAACTTTTCGCAGCCCGTACATGGGCAAAAGCATGGGCACGTGCATATGGCATACCTATCGGGTGTTATAGTACTACTATATACACACTCAAAAGTCGGGGTTTATCTGCAGGTGCTCGGCCGATTGTCAAAGTGACGTTTTTTTGCACCAAATTATCTCAGGGGATTCCTCGAACTTTGGCTCGAAGTAAGACGCGGAAGAGTATTTTTAGATTCTTCAGAACTCTAACTTCCTTCGTCATTACTTGCACCTAAGTACTTGGAGTTTGGACTGTACTTTCTGTACTAAAATAAGGTAATTTTTCATTTTAACGACTTGTCAACTCATCCACGAGGCGCCGTGAATCACATTCTACCTTAGATCGTAACCATTTGTTTGCAATATATACAATATCAATCATTTCGGGCAGGTCACCTAAAAACAAGTTCCACTTAAAATGAATCAATTATAAAAAAATCGGAGAGTAAATAATAAATTAAAGAATGAAAGTTCTTTGTGACGAAAATAATGTTTTACTTGATTTTGCGATGAGTGTAGTGTACTTTTCATAATTTGTATGAAGGCATTTATGTTTAAAATCTTAAAACTGGAAGAACCACAAAAGTGAGGAATGAAACTATGATTTGCTTAAGAAATTCCTTCAAATTTCTTTCATATTCCCGGAACTTATTCCTAAATATAGTAAAACTTCCAATTCATTTTCAAATGACGTCCCAACTATTTTATTTGTTGGAACATTCAGACTGGATTTCCCCTCCTTTTTATGTATGAGGCATTGTATGTTTATAGTTATGGTGAAACCCCATGCGAAAGCCTTCGGCTTATATGACACTTGTCAAGAGCTGGCTTCTCCGGGCCTGGGCCTGGGCAGGTGAATCAGGTGACAGCGACGATCAAATGTGTTGACACAAGTCGAGGATGGGGCCCGTCCGTGGTGGAAGTGCCGCCCCCAACGTAATGAGGTCATAAACTGAAATCGAATGACGTGCGGCAGGGAAAACAGAACTACATTTTATGGCCAGCTTTTATTTCCGCCAAAAAGGAAAATAAAAAAAAAACACAAGTAACGAACAAAAACCAAACACACAGAAATGAAAACGAAACCAGAGACCTCAGAGCTCAGTTTAGGGTTCTGTTGGCAAACATTTCTTTCTCGGCCGGAATAAAAGTGAAAAATGTGTCCGACATTGTTGACACTGAGATCGCCGACAGATGGGAGATTTGGTATTAAAACGAAAGGAGAGACAGGCGGTGGGGCTGGAGGTAGGAGAAGGTCTTCAAGCCCGTCTCCGTTTGTGGTACTTTACGGTTGTAGGCGACAAATTGAGCTGTGAGTCGAGAGCGGGCGGTGCCGCTTTGATGTCGCCTCTGACTCTGACTTGGGCTCGTTCTGGGGACGTTCGTTGTTGACTTTTTTGTGGCGGAAATCGAGGCGGCCACTTCGCACTCTGTTGGCCGGAACTGGAGCCACACTTTTGAGGCAAGCGCCTCAAAGCCGAGCGAAGCACTCATCACTTGTCGCTTGCTCATTGCAGATGGAAACGCAGACACCGCAGCAGCAGCAGCAACAGCAGCAGCAGCAACAGCAATTGCAACAGCACCAGCCGGTCCTCACTAAGCAACAACTCCAATTGCTGGACAAGATCAAGCTGGAGAACAGCAACGGTGCCGAGCAGCTAGCAGCACAGTCATCTAGCTCCCTGGAGGAGCAACAGGAGCAGCAGCAACAGCAACCTGCAACATCCGTGGGTGTGGTGGTCCAAACGAGCCAGGCAGGAGTTAGCGAATCGGAGGAGCAATACGTGGTGGTGCCACGAATCCAGAGACGGATTCTAACCACAGCGGGTACACTGTAAGTCTCCTTCAAGGAAAATTAAAATTGTTTTCCTTAATTCTTGACTTTTTTCAGGGAGGTGAACGAGTCCCGGGAAGGAGAGCTTACCAACGCCAGCAACGCGAGTTCAGGATCGGCGCCAGAAAGCCACATTGAGTACCAGCGCTCCTCACACCACTCCCCAGGCGGAGCCACCCACTACGTTCAGATGGCGCCACGCAATTCCGAGGTGCCCGACCAGGGACCCACTCCTGGAGGACCTCCGCCGGGCACTTTATACGCCTATCCCTCGGGACAGATACTGTGCAATGGCGAGGACGGGACGACCATTAAAATCGAGACAATTGAGAAGGGCGAGGTGTCTGGCGAGCCGCAGCAACAGCAGCTCCAGCAACACCAGCAGCAACAGCAATGCCCCACGCCTAATGGCGGAAGCTATGGCGATACCATAGTCATGAGCAGCGAGGCGGAGGCACTACAGCACCATCACCACCAGCAACAGCAGCAACACCAGCACCAACACCAGGCGGCACAAGCAGCAGCGGCGGCGGCAGCAGCAGTCCATATTGCAACAAGCTCCCATGGCGGAACCGTGCGATTCGTGACCGATGACGGACGCTTCGCCACCGCCGGGCCGGAGACCTCCAGCTCGAGCCTCTACTACGATGCGCCGGTGGTCGAAGGAAGTGTCCATGCCAACGAGTCCAAGACGTACGCGGACCTGGGCAACGCCTACGCCCCCTTCCCGTCCAGCTCCAGTTTCAGCAGCAACAGCTACGCGGCCACCTTGCCGCAATCGAACACCATCTACAGCGTGCCGGCCACCGGCCAGTTCCTGGCCAAGTCCGAGACGGGTCTGAATTCGTTGCGCCAGGCGGGACCGGCAGCCTTCCAGACGATATCCTTCCCCGACGGCGGCAACGCCATCGAGACCCTGTGGACTGCTCCGCCCGAGTACCAGAATGTGTCCTTCGTAAGTATTTTATTTTCAAGAATTTTATTGAGTTTCTAAAACATTCTCTCCTCAGACCAATTTTCATCCGCAGGTTATTGATGAGTACCCGTCCGGGAATATGACCACCACCCACTGGACTCCCGCCGGCAGCATTGGCCAATACGATCCCAGTCTGGTGTCGGGTTCTGCCACATCATCGCCAAACCACGAGCTCAAGTGCGAGAACTGCCACTCGCCGTACGTGCGGAAGGGCAGCGACTACTTCTGCCCCAGCTGCACGAGCTTCATGCGGCTCCCGGCGCGGATCCCCCAGAGGCAGGCCAAGCCGAAGGCGGCTGCCGCTCCCAACAATCGGCGGAACGGGGTGACTTGCGCCAACTGCCAGACCAACTCCACGACTCTGTGGAGGCGCAACAACGAGGGCAATCCTGTGTGCAACGCCTGCGGACTGTACTTCAAGCTGCACAACATGAACCGACCGCTCTCCATGAAGAAAGAGGGCATCCAGAAGCGGAAACGCAAGCCCAAGAACAATGGAGGCGCCCCCATGCACCGTGCTCCATTGCCAAGTGAGTTTGTCCTTCTCATTACACTGAGGAAAATGGCTAATAATTTCTCTAAAATTCCATTGGATTTCTAGGCATGGCGCAAGGAGTCAACCTGATGGCGAACAGTCCCCTGTATCCCTCCCAGGTGCCGGTGAGCATGTTGCAGAATAGCCAGCAGAATGCCAGTCCGGAGCTGCACGACATGTCCACGACGGGAGCGGCGGGTAACCAGCGGGTGGTGGCCATTTCGATGAACTCCTCGGCTCCGCCCACCTCCGATGGCACGCTGAACATGTCCGCCCGTCACCATGTGACCGGGGAGAGCCACTCGCCGTACAGCCAGCAGTCGACGCCGGCCCAGAGTCAGTCCCCCCATCTGCCCAGCCCAGTGACAATAAACCGCCAGATAGTCCAGCCGTAAGTTTTCCAGATCAGCCAAAGATGGGAAATTTTTAAGTTAACATTATTATTATTATTTTCCTGCAGAGTTCCTGCCATTGAGAGCGGTCGCAGCTCCAACAGCGAGCTCACTCCCAGTGTAATCACACGAACTGGCCTCCCCGAGCGGTCATCGAATAACTAAGCTAGCCCCGAAGAAGAATTCAAACTAAATTAATCTAAACTTAAACCAAAATGTCAAGATTGCCAAAATATTTATTTAAGCTCTAGCTCGTAAGATATGTCCCAGTTTGGAGGATGCAGACTTGAAAAGTTTCCAGGACCAGAAGAGTTCCAGGTCCCGACATTAAACTCGTCTTCCTCCCCCACCACCTTTAGTCAGCAAATATAGTTTGATTGGTGCCAACCACTTAGGATCGCTTCGATTTCAAGTACTTTAGAGGTAGTTTAGCTAAAAAAGAAGAGGAAAACACCGAGCCCATAAAGAGGCCTACGATTTTGTACGTTTAAGCGTCTTTTTTTAGATTCTACAAAATAAATAAGTTGTAAACGCAAACACACACTCGCCAGACTTTGATGACTCTACCGGAGGGGCCTCTACCTCTACCTCGTTATATTTCATTGTCAACAATTTGGCAGCCGGCCAAATTGATCCAAATTAATTTTAATGACCTCCACAGACCACAGAGCGAGAGATCGCTGCGAGACCGAAGGATACCATACCATACCATAAAATCTTAACAGGTCGGAACGGATCGCAGCAACCTCCCCGGATCGCAGGCAGTGTCTAAATAGCGATTTGGTGTCATCGCTTAAAAGCCTGTCCGACGCACAGTAACGCCACCGCCTGCAGTCGCCTCCTTTGATCTCCCGGTGGTATGGCAAAAATGCTCCTCAAAGCCCGAAGATGGAGTCTCTGTTTCGGGTTAAATAGGGGGGATTCATGTTTGTCGGAGAGGAAAATATAATATTGGTTTTACTTTAATTGAAATAAAATATTTATTGGAAATTTTCAATCTATATCCCTAGTTTCTTGAAAAGTTTATTTTACAGGGTTGTATTCAAACAAAAAAAAAGGTATTAGTTTATTTTTAAAATGTATTTAAATTTTAAAATTAAAAAGGTTTCTTAATTAAACTTTTTATATAAAGAGCTCTGAATGAAATGTAAAATGCTTTCAAAAACATCTGTACCATAGAAAAAAATGAATTTTTTCTTCGAGTATATAAAATGCCTTGTTTTTGTCTTATAAATCAATAAAAATTTCAAAAATTATATTTGTATTTACCAACCTTGGTGAGTAGAGTTCCCCCCTTAAACCGTAGGAGGCGCAAGCTCGGTATAATATTAACGCCTTGAGCTCGGTCGGGACTCTTGCTGGCTCTGCGCTCTGCGTTCGGGCCCTGTTTTTCCTTTGTCTGAGCCTTTTGGCTCTTTTTGTTTTTGGCGTACGCTCGATCAATTAGGCAAACTTGTTTTACGACCGCTTTTATTAGCGTCCGCTCTGGCCGGCGCTCCACGTAACCGGAGTTGAGGCCGAGTCGGGCCGAGAGCCAAAGCCAAAGCCAGAGTCCAGACTCCAGCAGACCCACTCGGGCTTTTGGGGACCGGGCAAGTGGGAATGAGTAATGAGACGGCGGTCCCAGCACCCGGCAGCTATGGAATGTGTTGGAAAAAATTATGTGCAGCGTCAAGTTGTGCAAGTGGAATGGATTGGCTCATCGAGTGGAATGAAATAGCATTTGTTAGGCAAGAGGTAGTCCATTTTTTAGATAAATTATAAATATATTTAAATAATAACAAATAATGAATCTCCAGGGAAAGCTAATGGGTTGATAAACAGACATCCTTCATGGCATTAAAAAAGCTCTTATTACTTTTAATATCAGGATAGGATACCAGGATACCAATTAGCCTCGCCAGCCCCATAAACCATATCGGAGTCGCAATTGTATTTATGCTTTAGAAACACTCCAGTCCATAATGAGCGGACCACTAATTGCTGCCGCACCTGTGGCACATCCTCTGCAGCCGCGAATTAAAACATTTTCCATTTGCCAACCCGTTTTATATTTCCAATTGCTGCTGGAGGAGGAACTGAGGGAGAAGTAGTGATGGCAGGGGCCTAGGAGTCAGGGACCAGGGAGGCGAGACCGTAAAATAATAATTCAATGTGACAGGCAACAAGATACGACAGCGGGCGCCATTTTTCAGATGCCACCCCGCACCTTCGCCGATCTGGCGAGCTCCGGCAAGTGGCACACTTGCAACTCGCAATACTCTGACATTATCGCTGGGAATTATGACAGACGTATGTACGGAACGGCGAACGGGGAACAGCGGACCGCGAACGTCGGAAAGTGATCCGCTAATCTCCGGAGCCTTGCATGCATTTGAATTTCTATTAAGCTAATTGCAATTGGACGAGGCGAGTGCGCATTTGCTCATGTTTTAAAACGCTGCCTCAGATACAGCGATTGTTTCCAGATATGATTCTGGAGTGGATAGGTTCTTGGAGCAGGGTCAGCCGGTGGGGGCATAAAAGCCAACATAAAGTTGAAACTGTCAACTGGAACTGGCTTCGGGCCGGAGCACTCCCCGTTTGCATTTAATTAGCCAGCCAAATGACCACCTAGCAAGGCGGCCTCTTGAACCCGAACTCGTACTTTATTTAAAAAAAAAAAAAAGAAGACTCTGAACCGGGTTCGAGGCGCCACTTAGCCAACTTCAAAGTGCAGAGTGCCGACTGGAGAGTGTGCATCTTCGCCGGGGTCTCCGGGCCGGGCCGGGCCGGGCCGGCAAGCTACCATCATCTTCATGGCTGGCATTACAAATCGACAAACGACACGAAAATGCGCTTTAACAACGCGCAGTTAAAATAGATAAAAGCCGATAGTCGGACGCCGCCAGCCGCTGCAAGTCCCCTCGAAAGAGGATTACAGGGTCTGAGGAGCAGGGTGGGGGGATTGCAGCTAAGGGTATCATTTGTTTTAGTTAAAGCTTGCCAGATCTAATACTGGCTGAATAAAATATTTTATCTATTTATGGGTAACTTATTATTTAAACTTTCCAAACACTCCAATATTAATTGGCTTTTCGGAGTGGATTAGATGGATTAGACCCATTCGAAAAAATGGGTTATAGATTAATTTTTTTAATTGGTTTACTTTAATTATTTAATTCAATTAAGAGTTTTATTATATTTAATTGTATTTCTTAAACAATCCACTTACAGTGCCCCCTTTATTTAAATTTGTCCATTATTATCCTCCCTAACCTCTTCTAGATTTCATTCCCCAGACGCTGATTCTCTTTCCTCTTTCTCCAGAAGACACTCCTCCAGAGCTGCAGTGACGTCACAAATCCAACCTCAACAGCAGCAATATCATTTCAATCCGAGTTCTAGGAAAAAATATCAAAATTCCGAGAATTCACACGAAAGACAAAATGCGATTGCCTTGGAAGAGCCGCAGAAGGCAACAGATTGGGATTCAGTCGGGATACGGGTTTGTCAGGGCAGGGGTATTATGAGATTCAGATGGCTCTGGGTTCAGGAATGGGAATGGGAATCGGAATGGGTATGGGTATGGGTATGGTGGATATGGGTTAAGGTATTCCCTTGTCTTTCGGCTCTTATCACAACTCACGCGCGTCTCGTTCCATTTCGGTTTTTGGCTTGGACCCGAAATCACATTATCTGGGCTCTGCGTTCTCGGTTCTCCGTTCCGAGATGGCGACGTAGCTAATGGATATGCCGCATATGGTATAACATATCACAGATGACGATGATGATGATGGGCCGACCGCTCGGTCTCTTCTTCTCTTTCGGTTGCACTATCTTTGCTGTCTCTTTCGGTGCAGACGCCGGTGCCAGTGCCAGTGCCATTGCCGGTGTCTTGGAGGAAGATTGAAGATGCGGCGCTTATCGAGGAGAAAAGCAGAGAACGCAAAAGATGCGACTCGAAAAGAGTTCAGCTGGCCGGCTGGCTGGGTGGAGTTCCAGTTCCAGTTCGAATCCCAGTCCCATCTCCTCCGCATATTTGTGTTATCGTTCTGCCCCCGTGCTGCACCCCCGTGGGCATTTGCATCACGGAATGCAACACGAGAAAGAAGGGCTCTCTCGGCGCAGAAATGTGGCGCCAAAGGAAGCGTTGAAAATGGTACTTGATCTTGATCGCGATGTGCCGACCGAACCGAAGAGGATCGTTCCGCTGACTGTAATTTAGACGGCGCCTCGATCCTTGTTTCACACTAATGCACTTGCAGCTTTTAGATGTCACCTGGACCAGGGCACTCCCCTCCTCGGCCAGTCCACACCAGCTAGGCCACTTTGTGATCTTGTAATCCCCTCGGGGGACCTGTGAGCTGCTCGTGTGTATTCAATTGGAATAATTAGTGATATCAGTTTGAATTTGTTCATGGTTTTCATCTTAGAAATTATGCAATGAATATTAATATTAATATTAAAAAATAAATCTATAATACAAATTAAATATCTCGCACTTCTTAAGCTAAAAACCTTTTAATAATAGCCTATTATGTACTATATTATTAAAACCATCTAACATCTCATTTTTAGAACCCAATAAAATCATAAAGAAGCTAATAATATAATTTTTTTTACCGATTCTATGGTGCTATGTTGTTACCAAGGCGTCATAGTGTTCAATCTAGTTCCGATAATTTTTACGACCATCTGGAGCCTTGACAACTTTGTTGGCAGGCGCCACACTCCTCTTCATATTGGCCATAACAATTACAATGTATGACACCCACTTATGGCCAGCATCCCTCATATCGGAACCGAGGAGCACATCTATGACTGGCATCCTCATCAATTAAGTGCCTGCGAAAATCTTGCGGGCTTTTCATTAGTTTATCGAACGGTCGCGGTACGGGGGGAATATTTCAAATCTTGCCACAAGCTGGCCCCAACCAGTTGCAATTAAAGGTTCTGTTCTCGGTTGGCGCCGCTTTCACGAACCCTTTTTTAACGTGAGAAAATTCCGCACTGATTTCTACATACTTATGGGCAAAATGTCTCGTTATCGAGCGCCAGCATACCTGAACAAAAATGTATGTGCGTATTCCTGAGATAGTGCGCCTAAAGGCCGAGGAACGGCCGGCAAGAGCGTAAATGTCAAAATGCCAAAATTAATTGCAATGGCAGTGCCACGGATAAGGCTCCAGAAAGCCGATCTGCTCCGGCCATGCTGCCAGCTCCAGGAGCCAGGCCACTGCCCACTTTTGGGGCGCCACAAAGAGGAGGGTTTTGGGTGGAGGTCAAGGGCGGGGTCAGAAAAATTATTAAAAGGAGATACTAATTGTTAATTTTTAAACTCTTGACTTTCATTTAAAATTTTTTAATATGCAATAGAAGAATAATAATAATCTCTAATTTGGAATCGTAAAAGCCCTTTTCAGACGCCTCTGGCTTGAGACTTCAGTTCCTTCGTGGCCACCATTACAAATTCTACCACTTTTGACCCTGCTGCCGACCAACAACCTCTGCTTGCCACACCTCAGAACCCATAGCCACAATCAAAACCAGACCGAGGGCCATCATGTCTTAAGACCGAGGAGCTATCGTGCCGGAAAATCAGCAGGACGCCGTTGCAGACCCGCCGAGAAATCGAGAAACTTGCAACGGAAACCCGTTCCGGGTGCCCCACAGTGCTGGTCCCCATTTTGAGGTGGAGTCAGCAATGTGGCACCAGCGTTTTCATTGGCCAACTGCACTGCTAAGACACAAACACACACACACTATCGTGGATGTGTTACCTGACCCCCAGCCGCCTCTCAGGTCTGGCTTTCATTAAAGCTTCGCATAAATTTTGTTGCATGTTTGTGGCGCTTTACGTCCGTGCGGCGCGAGTTCGTCTGGGTATCGCGGGCTACACGCACTTCAGACTTCAGTCTCAATTCATTTGCAGCTCTTCTATTAGCCCCTTCTTGTCCAGAGTCCCCCCCTGGAAAACTGGTAGACGCATTTCGTGCCTATGTCTGGGGTCTTTTTTTTTATGATTTGGCCTGCTCGTATTTTGGCAGTTCCTATAAATAATTGAACTTTATCGCTCGGAGGCCCGCGTGCCATTTAATAAATTTAATTTGTGGTAATTGAACATTTGCCAGTGGCAGGCACGAATGGTAGGTGACGAATTTATCAAGTTGTCTTTCTGCCCAAAAAAGCAAATGAAATCGGCCATTTTTCAGTGGTGACAAGCGACTAATATTCCAGAAAGTTTTTTGGGTGCGTTCTGTAATCAGAGCACATTCTTGTGCCATGCAGAATGTGGGATTTTTCTTTTTTTTTGGGGATATGTGTCACTTTTTTTTAGCCCAGCAACTGATTTCAAACAAATTAATCTCAAAAAGAAAGGTTACTTAGGAGAAACTTGAATCGTATATACTCTTTATTTTAAATGAAGTGATTCTAAGAATATAGAGCTAAATGAATTTTAAGTTTATATTTGCAGTATTCTTTAAAAAAATTGATGTTTTCGACTGAAGCCATAGAATATAAGTGGAATTTCGAATCACTTTTTTGGAAGGTTTACGAAAATTATAGTACCCTCATAAAGGGTAGGACTATTTATAAGACTCAACGTGGCTCTACATACATTCATGCATATGTTCTTCGTCATTCTCTTCTTGGGAAATTTTGAAAAATAAAACTTATATTATGATTAGTTCTTAATTCCAGGAAAAACTATATTTATTCCAAATAAATTTTAACCACAAAAGATGAACATTCTTTAGAAAAGATAATTTAAAATTTTATCCAAATAAGCATTTAATGAGCAGTCAAATATTTATGGTTTGTTTAATTGCAAACTGTGAGGATTTTGAAAATTTACTGGCGATATTAATGAAATTTTTAATTGCAATTTAGAGCGAAACGTGCTGCACAAAAAATGTTAATTAAAAGTACTTAAATTTTCATTAAGCGCTTTTTGATCGCGACTAAAATTTATGCACCATGAGCAGAAAACAGTGATTACTTATCTCCATTATGACACATGAATGGCACAACTAATTTGTAAATCAAAATGAATTTGTTATTCTCACCTCTTGGGTTCATACCGATTGAGTGTAGTATAGTATACATATGTAAATGGAATCAACTTAATGAAGACATTATCAGATAAATAAATCACAAGTAGGCGTTAAACTTATAAATTGCAAGCGATTGTAAATATGTAAGATTTCAATGAATTGCTAGCCAGGGAGAAGAGTTATGAAGGTGCCAATTAAAGTGCACATAAAATGCAAAAAGATTAAAAAGAAAAGTTGGCCCATGGTTTATGGCTTTCGCATTCGCAAAGTATATTTATAATTAATTTGTTTTATTAGCGCATATTATTGGGCTTTAAATGGCGCAGGGGAGACGTTGCGCATACGCCCCGATAGCCAGCGCAAGTGGGCTGTCCCCAGAGAGTCGCTCTGTTCCACTCTCTCTCACACTCACTCGAATATCTAAACAGCAAATCAAGCTAACTTTAATATGGCCACAATTCGATTAAAAACGCGAACGAGAAAGCAAGATAGCACGAGGCTGATATGGAGGAAAAGAGCGAGCGCGCTGCCAAGGCAACACCCACTTTCAAAGCGATATCGGGTGTGTGTCTGTAAGTGTGTGTGTTTGTGTGTGCCAAGCGAAACCCGTTTGTTTGCTCGCGGGAGAGCCACAAAAGACAGGCAGTCAGTCGCTCTCCAACCGGAAACAAAAACAAACGCGCTCGCTGCTACGCTCCCTCCATCTTTATCCCCATTCGCGTGAGTGTGTGTGTGTGTTTGGTGAGCTTCCCCATTCCAATCAGAACACATACAAGGAGTCCGAGTGGGACTCGAAATTCCTTGCCATCAGTTGGACTCCGACCGCTTGAGCGCGATACGCCGCGAAACGCAGCTAACGTAGCGAATCGAATCGCGAATTGCCGTCGCCAAAACCCAAAGCGATCCATAGTTCAAGTCTCTAAACTGGAAAGCTAATAGTTTTAATAGCCTGCATTTTGATTAATTGGCCGGACAACAAACGGGTCTCGCGATCAAACTCGTATCATTTTTTGGCATCCATCTTCCCCATACAGTGCGAGTGTATAAAAAACCAGTGAGTGGTGTGAGTTCAGTTCTTTATTTTTGGCCAGATCTGTATCTGTATCTGCATCTTGGTCTCTGAATGGCCTGTGATTTGTGGCATTGACACAGCCATTCAAAATCAAATCAAATAAAGAGAAACAAAAACTCACAAAACGTTTGCTGTGAAAGAAATACAATAAATGCTATTTAAAAGCAGTTTACATTTTTGTTAAACCGCACAACAAAAAGGCCATTAAGAGCCATAACTGCCAATTGGCATACGAATCTTCATTTGCATAAATCGCCCAAGGAAATATCTGCTATTTATTTGAAAATAAGTAAGTTGAATCAAGAGGTTTTTTTTTTTTTAGATTAAGTAGCATCTAATTGAATCTTCAGTTAGCTTAAATTATAGGAAACTTGTTTTCAACTAAAATTGCTTTAAGATGCCATTCAAATGATTGGAAAACTTTACAATATCTTCAAGTTACAACTTGAGACATTATCAATAATATCAATGTTGTGTCAATTAGCTAAAGCTCAGCTACAACACAATCTTTATGGATCAACAATGAAATTAGCATGGACTTATGTTAAGCATGTAAACACCACGTTAAGATACAGATCTAACAGTAAAAACTAGTTTGGCGGCTATCTTTGAGATAGTATAGTAGTGCAGTTGGCAACACACCCAGCACAGAAGCCCAAAGGGTGAAAGGGTCGTAAATTTTAGCCAAAAACATATTGGCAACAAATCATTTTCGATTATGCCATTAGCAACTGAGCGTGCATTATTGTATTTTGTTCAATAATTTAATTGAATTGTAATTTATGCGCTTGAGTTTTATATTCAGGCATAAAATATAGCAAAAAAGGCCATAAATTTCTGATCAACTTTTGAGATGTCAAAATGGAAATGGGCTGTATACAGTATACGTCCATAAGGCCTGATATGAACTTGGCGTCCAATGGCAGTTGACATGAGCGCAGTTTTGTTTCAATTAGCTCCCCGTTGAAAGACCAAGTGTCAAAAATCTTTCAACCTTCCTTAATTGATGGTAGCAGCCGCCGGTTGAAAGCAGTTGAAAACTGGAGTGGTTTTGTGCACTTTCAACACTTGCAGTGGTACTCACAGTGGCACTCACAGTAGTTGGCATAATTACTCGCACAATTGCATTGAAGATACATAAATTGGCCAGCTCAGGCCAACGCGCAACAAAAGACTGGAGAGCAAAACTCGTAAAAGCTACGTAGAGCAGTCATTAACATTCGAATTAACATTAACATTAGCTCGTATCACTATTCATTAGGGTTCTCAACTGCGGACATGGCCAAAACTCTTTGGTAATGCACATAAATTACAGCTGACAACGGAGAGTGTTAAGGTGTCTTAGGGGAAAGGTAAAAAGTAAACAATTAGAGGCCTGGATTGCATTTCTTTTCTTTTCATAATTACACAAAAAAATTGTACTAATAATTTTATGCCATTTATTAAGAATGTATTAAATACAATTGAGAATAGATGGTTAAAAATCGATACTAATAAATACTGGTATTTCACTCAACAAATTATACGAGCCTTGTTGGGAAAACAAACTTTAGAAAACTGATTATCCATCAGAATATAATGTACTTCATTTCATAATACCTTAGTCCTTGAATCAGTTTATATGGATACACCGTAACGTCCCGTTTAAACCTTCCATATCACTATTCATCCTTCCTATCATTGTCAATCTTTCCAATTACTTTTATGAGCAACCTTGACCAAAGTAATTCCAATTCGATTGTAACCCTTTGCCTCACTTTCACTTCCAAGTCCCGGCCACGAATCAGTCATATAGTACGCCAGGTAAGGCCAAGTACCACTCCATAGAGCAATTAACTGCTGGCGCCACCACTAAAAGGCCAACAACAGCGAACGGCCCGGGCTCAATGGATGGCCCAGACACCGAAGTGGGCAGAGAATAGAATCCCGTGGAGGCACGGCCATGTTGACAATGACACAACATGACGGCAGATTCTCGAGTGCAGGAAATATTGCAAAAAGTGTCATAAAATCATTAGCTGGAAAACAGTAAAGACAGGTCCGCAAGGGCCATAAAAGCAGGCCAAAGGCCAGCCAAAACTGGCCGTATCCTGTCCTCCGAGGAGGTCATGAGTCAAAGGCGCTGCGTGTGACCAGTGGCACAGGTTACATGATCCCTGGTCTCCACCCTGGTCCCGGTCCGGGCCTGTATCTGTGTGCGTGTTTAAACGCCTTTTAATTTATGACACTTTTATGAGACCAACAAAATCCATAAAACTGAAATTGGCTTCAAACATTGGCTAGAGAGAAGGCAAAACAAAACTAGTTAAATGGCTCTGACTTTGTCTCGCATTTGGGTCGAAAGAATTTTCCGGCAATTGCATCATAAATCTTAACCCAAACTGCTTAACGAGACCAAGTCAAAGGTCACTTAGATGAAGGGATACTTTGAGCCCCAATGAGAAACTCAATACTTTTATGAGATTCTAAAACTTAATGAAAGGTTTTTTCATTTCAAAATTTACAATTTTAAATTTTAATAACCGAAATACATATTCCAAAAACCGTTTTTTTCGAATGACATTCTGTCACTTTTTCAAAACCATGTCCTATAAACAGAACCTGGCAACTCTGTTGAAAAACAACCCCCAGACACACTTGACTGAAAATGCAAAACTGCAACCAGCCAACCTAATTATGCAATTTTAGCACCACTCGCTCAAGCTGGCCAACCTACACGGCCCAAGCCCAGAGCCAGGCCGTCGGTGCCAAACCGAGCCATGTCCATAACCATATGAATATCATTCAGGTAGAGCTGTCGGCGTGGCACGCAAAGTGGAAAGTGTATCCGAGCCAGAAACAACTGGCAGGCCATGATAAATGCCCCGAGCTCACTTCATTGCAAGTTGCAAGCAGGTCAACGGGCCAGGAGAATGGCCCAATAGGAAGTACAGCCATCAGCCATCGGCCATCGGAGACCCGGGAAGTCCTGCCGTGTCCTGCCAGACATCGGCTAATTGCGTGTTAGCCAAGGACCTAGCCAGCTGATAGCGACGATCCAGGATCCAGGACCTGGAATTTCTCGGTAGCCAGCAACTTGGCGTCGCAAGTCTGGGCATCTTGCTGAGTGTGTTAAATTTTATGTATTTAAAAAAAGGATGGAAATTTTGGTATACTTTTAATGAAAGATAGGATGGAGTGATACGCGCAGTACATATTATGAATATTACTATTTCATATTACTATTAATATTGCATATTACTCTACAGATATTAGAATCGTTGTAAATATTTCCTAAAAAAACACTTTTTAATTTTTCTAACATTGATAAAAAAAAAATGAGGATAAACTTTCCAACTACATTATAAAATTGTTGACATTTTTGTATTTTTTTTTTTTTTAAAGATGATTAAATTCTTTTTAAATGACTATTTAATTTGTTAATAACATTATTTTCAACAAACAAACACTTTGACCGATAAGCTTGGCTTTTCATGCTGATATAAAATATGAACTAAAAAAAAACCCTCTCATATCAAATCGGGGCCATGTAGAACCTTCGCGGAGAAGAAATAATCTTAAACCTTATCGTTGCTTCTTGGAGGAAGCTGGGCTCCCCAAGCCGCAGCGATAAATCCTTAACAGTAACTGTTCTGCTCAAGAAAACTGATTTCGATTCCGGGTGCAGTTGAAGCTTATCTCATTGCTTCCCAGGCCCAAAGTTCAGTTTTAGAATCAAGCCGGCGCCAAAGGCTAATAAAAAAATATATTAAGAACTTTCTTCTAAGGCATAAAGGTGGCCATAATTAATTAATTAAAGACACGGGGAAAATTAGGCGACATCTTTTCACAGTCAAGAGCGCCGATCGGATCTTGATTTTTCCACAGCAATTAATTCTCTTCGTCGTCGTCTGCCTCTTTCTCGGTGTGTTTCTCTCTGATCTCACAAATGTAAATGTCATTCGAAGAGGGGAGGGTGGGGGCGGGAAGACATAAGCCGCAACGACGCCAAGACACTTAAAAGCTTTGCCCGAAGACCGACGGAGGAATGGATCCCCCTGGGGATCTGAAAATGTGTATGCCCGCGTGCCGAAAACTTGTCACCGCCACTAGTAATGGGAGGGAGGGAAAGAGGCAGGGCTATCAGTAAGAAAGAGAGGCACGAAAGCCTAGAGGGAGTGAGGAACATATCTTCACTATCGGCAAAGATCAAAAGCCCAGAGCGGGCTTAATTTAGACGCCATCTGAAAGGATACCCGAATCGAGTTCGTTGCCTAAGTCTTTCGTTTCTCGCACGCCCTGTGGGCTGTCCGCCAAAAAAGGCATAAGGCCAGCATGAAAGAGCGCTCACTGAGCATAGATATGTGGTCTATCTGGATGGTAATTAATTATAAAAACAAAATGCACACACAAGCGAAGCATTATCAGCCTAAACACAGCCATACAAAAGTTGCAATAAGTCACCATTTCCGCCATCAGTTCTCCACCGAGGGCGAAGTGATAAGACCGCACCGCCGCTATCCCAAGCCGCTATCCAAAGGCGATGTTTATAGACTGACACACACTCAAAATCAGCGATTGGAACAATCATCGAAAGCGGGGGTGCTTCGCTCTTATCTCGTCCTATTCAAATTGAGTTCTTCGTTAGCTCGCTAACATACATAGTTTGCTTTTGTTCGGGAATTTGTAAGTAGCCGTCGTAGCACTTGAATTGCGTTTTAGTTGCTATGTCAAGTGCTTGGGTAAGAGGTGGGGACACTAAGGCGGAAAGTGGGGCTCAGCAAGTAACCCTGGTGAGTAATTACGCCGCTTGAAGGAGGCCCCTAATGGCAGGGTGATAACGAATACAGATCGCAACGTTTATGTCGCAAGAAATTTGTAAATTTCAAAGCGTACGTTTTAGACTCCCGAAAAGTGCGTCTTATTTTTGGAAATAAACATTAAAACGTAATTTGGCCATGGAAATCCTTATTTTTAGTTAAATAATAAAAGATTAAAAAAAGAAATTCTTCAGATTTAATAATAAACTATAAATAGTTTCGCCATCGGTTTCCTTTAAAAAAAAAGGAAGAGGTAAAAAAAACTTTTAAGGTGTATTTTATTTACTTCATATTATTTTCTCAAAATATTATATTTTTTGATAAAAATTGTCAAACTTAAAGAGTTTGAAAAAACCGTTTTTGCTCAACCCACAACCTTTCCTATTCCCAAAGAACTCAAAATGCCATCAAAGAACCATTTCCACTCACACCACCAGACTAACCTCTCCCATCTTCCCAGCTAAATGCATTTGCGACATTAAAGATGAAC